CCCACAGGAGGGGTATCAGTTGTGAGGGCAGGCCTGGTAACCCCACAAGGGTATCAGTTGTGAGGGCAGGCCCACAGGAGGGGTATCAGTTGTGACGGCAGGCCCACAGGAGGGGTATCTGTTGTGACGGCAGGCCCACAGGAGGGGTATCAGTTGTGAGGGTAGGCCCACAGGAGGGGTATCAGTTGTGAGGCCAGGCCTGGTAATAGCGTCAACCTCTGTTGCTGTCAAGTCAAGCATCAGCCACTGCCCCACAACTGATACCCCTCCTGAGGGCCCGGGCAGCCCGGCCAGTAGCCCTGGACCAGCCAGAATACTTCACACATCTTCTTCTTTGTTAATGATGGGGTGTGAACCTGGACCAGGGCCCAGCCCTGGACCAATCTGTAAGAGTTTTCCGGCTGGTGTGGGTGAGCGATAGTCTGCATTGATTTTCGTCACAGGAAAGCTTGAGGGATGTGGTTGGTGGCTCCAACCCTCAGGAGGGAGGGTATCAATTGTGGGGGGGCAGTGGTTGATGCTTGACCGCAACGCGGGGGGAAAGGGGGGGGGATGGGTTGGTAAACCACCAGCCCATCTGCGGGCAGCACTGTATTTTTTGCTCGTACATCAGCACTGGGCCAAGACTTGCGGTGCCGAGCTGAGGCAGAGGCTCTGTGCGGAGGGGCAACTCTAATTTCCCCTTCTCCCCCCCCCCCTTAAAGGGTGATGGGCTTTCGATATAACTATTCACCTCACCAGCCCCAGGCACTTCAGAATGACTTTGTTGCAACGGGGTGGCACGAACGATCTGGCAGAGCAAAAGGAGACAACCAGGAGGCTTCAGAAACCGACCCTCCTCTGCCCCCCCCCCCCCCCCCCCCCCCCCCCAACTCTAATTTCCCCTTCTCCCCCCCCCCCCCCCACCCACCCCCCTTTAATCCCCCGTTCTTTTTTATAGCTAATCTAGATTCTTCTCTCAATCGCTGTTGCATAGGACCCAACAATTTATTTTTATTTTTATTTTTATTTTTATTTTTATTTTTATTTTTTTTATAAAGGCATTACATGGTTTATTAAGCGACAGACATGGAAGAGGCCGGGGACCTCACAATTCTACCCGGGGACTGACACAAGTTCTTAGCCAGACCAACCTGGCGACTGAGAGACATCTTATCAACAAACCAGAAGACAGAGCCAGACCAATCTGGCAGCAGCAAACTAGAGGCCAGACCAACCTGGCAAGAAACTCAGGGCACACAGCAATTGGACACTCTTAGGAGACGGGCCCACTCGTTCCTACGACGGATCCCTAGGCCTATGACTACCTCACCCAAGGCTTTTGTGAACCACCGAGTGACCAGGTTGGTTCCGCCTTGAAAACTAGTTCCTCTATATGACGAACTACTCTCACTGACAGTATCTCTGTACTTACCCACCAACTACAGTAAGATCCCACCAGCTACAATAAGATCCCACAGTGCGATGCCTTAGGTATACATACCTATAGACCGTCCTTTATTTTGTACCAAACCTGTATTAAACTTTATTCTCCCTAGTACTACTCGTAGCCTGATTTGAGCCAAGGAGACAACACCAGTTTTCCGGTCCGTGCAGAGACTGCTGCCAGGCGATTCTTCTTAGCCCAGGAGCGCGGGGACCACAACCTTGCTCTAGACCGTTCCGGGGCAGATTGGGACAAGACTTTCTTCCTCCAGTCCACGACTACCATGTGTCTGACGGTGGCTTTCATTCCGGCTTTCAGTTCTGCGTCTGAAAAGTATCTTTTTTCAAACAGCACTGAATTCCTCTCTTTCCATATCCACCAGATTGCCACTGCACGGATCGTCACTGCAACATAGCCCCGGCCTTTGCCGTTGGATAGTGAAGGTGGTAGTTTGCCCGTTAAAGCCCATTCCAAATCCCATTCCACTTCTTCAGGGCCACCCCAAGCTTTCCAGTGGTGAGCCCACCATCTCCATTTACGGAAGGACAGAGGGCAAATGCCCCAAAGATGTGATAACGTCCTCCGGAGCTCGATGGCATCTCACACAGCAGACGTTCACCTCCATACCTCTGGTAAACAGGGAAACGACATCCAGCGGGGCCGAGTGGGTTAAAAGCCACAGCACCGATGCGCACTTCTTGCTTGGTAGTCTCCTGCAGACCTTCCACATTCCTCTGTAGTATTCCACTGAAAGTTCTGAGCCCGTATTAGCATAAGGGTGTGCCTCCTGTATTCTGACTGTCGAGCTCCCTTGCAATCTTTGAAGGCCCATTCCTAGTCCGGAGCTGTACTGGTACAGTTTCGGTTTACCTCTCATTTTGGACCAACTATACAGTTCTGGATCAATCTTCATGTGGCAAATCGGGGTGCCATCCATGAACAGCGTAGGTTGAACTGCTCCCCCTGCTGAAAACTGCATAGCCACTCTCACTTCTGCCATTATGCCAGAGCTACTCAACACCCGTTCCTCGTTGAAGGTCAGTCTATTGTCCCGTAACCCGTCTTTAGTCTGTCTCTCGCAGACTTCCACTTTATCTTGGCTGACTTGCTTCAGGATTTGAGGGTCCCTGCTAACGCTGAGAACGGGGTGGTACCACCGGCCTGTTGAAGGTGAGTCTTCTAAAAGTTGTTTCCATTCTTCAGGAATGGATTGGATCAGTTCATGCCGCCTTGTTTCGATGTACCACAGTCTCCCTAGGTTCCTTCTCAGGTCCGAGGTACTCCTCCACCCTTTCTGAGGCGCGTCCCACAGGTCCTCGATCCGAAGTACTCCCCTTTCCACCCACGATCTCCCGAAGCTCCCTTGTCCTGCAATCGTGAACACCGACCCATCCCCCTTCTTTATGCACTGGTTTTCGAAAGAGGCTGTCACAGTACCTCATCTCGCGTTGGAGGTTCCCTCCGCGATGCTGGTGCGAGGGTCTTCCAAGCCTGGATTACTCTTTGCCAGAAGGGGGATTTCCGCCTCCTTCGCTTGTATGATGGACCCAACATCACAACCCGGACATCTTCCCCTCTACACAGGCCCCAGGATTTGGCCAGGATGTATTCCGCCAGTGCAACCCAGCTGTGATCTTCTGTGTTAAGGGCAGCTCTTATGGGCCATTTGCCAAGCAGGGCTTTGTTCTGGCAAACTGGATCCAGCATGGCAAGGCCTCCTTCTTCCTTTGTTGCAGTGAGCTTCTCCCATGATATCTTGGACATGTGGGCCTTATTCTCCTCTGCATCCGGTTTCCAGATATATCTTGAGGCCGCTGTCCTGATGTCTCTTGCAGGCTTTTTCCCAAGGGGCTTGACAGCTCATGAGTACCAGAGTTGTGAAAATACCGCCGCATTCACTATTTTGGCCAAGGTCCTGCCAATGCTGCCCTGACGAGGGGCCAACAGGTTATCTCTAGATGGTAGGACACCGAGCATGCCCGTATGCCACGTACGTGAGGCCAATGGGGATTCAACCTACCTTGCAGGGTCGAACCTACCTACGTTTTACAGTATCATTGGTTAGGGAAGGGACTCTGCTGACTGAACCCTTCTTTCAGTATCATTGTAGATAGATGCTTAACCACGACCGGGGTTAAGGTGGATGATCTCTTTCAGTGTCATTGGTTAGGGCCCTTAGGGGACTCTGCAGACTGTGGAGGGTTCAGTCCGCTGAAGAGTCCGGGAATCTCTGACCAATCACATGTCAGGGCCTCACTCCACTAGTCACCAAATGTGCAAAATGAGAACGAATCGGCCGCTAGAACATGGGAAGATACACGGCCATATTTTGTCTTCTGTGAATGTGGAGAGTGGCGGAGCGAGGCCCTTTGTTAAAACCCGCTGTTTTTTTTTTTGTTTTTTTTTTAATTACAGAAAGGCAATGCCCCATCTATTCTGTAGGGGCATCAGTCCGGTTGCTCATCACCGGCAATCCAAAAGTACATGAGAGGCAGTTGGAGCAGAGGAGAATCAGATACAGCCACCCTTGCAGCCCTAGCCCCTTACACAAGGGGGAAGGGGGGGGTGCTTCGACCGCTCTCCCTCCGGAGTCCGAACCATTTTCTTATAATTGATTAATAAAGTTATCTTCGCGTCTGCTCGAGGAAGATGTATGGCAAGCGTGGAAGGCAGCTGTGGAAAAACAAAAAAAAAAAGGAATCACAATTAGTCGAGTCTTTTTGATAGACTTTCAATGAACGTTTTTTTTTGTTTTTTTGTTTTTTTGTTTTTTTTTTCTCGTCTTTTCTTTTCCTTTTTGAAAACGGCAACGGCCTTGAGGTATCATCAGTGAATTCAGAATAATTCTTTTTTTTTTTTTTTTTTTTCCAAAATTCAGAATAATTCTGAATTACCTCGGCCCGGAGGTAATTCAGAATAATGCTAGGCTACCAGAGAGGCCCGGGACCACTTGCCGGGGCGGGCCAAAAAAATCAGAAGAAAAAAAAATATATTATTATTATTATTTTTATATGAAATGTGGAAAAGAAGTTCGATGTGACCCTGAGGCAAAAGTTTGTTCAGTTTATTTTTCTGCATAACATAGTTTTTTTGGGGAATTTTTGGATGTTTTTTTTCAGTTTATTTTTCTGCATAACATAGTTTTTTTTTGGGGAATTTTTGGACTTTTTTTTTTTTTTTTTTTTTTTTTTTTGCTGGACCTTCCCCTCGTCCTTGCATGGCCGGGCCGCCTGGGAAAATAAGGCGACCCGCCCGGCTGGTAGCCTAGGAATAATGTTATTTAAGCTTGTTTTGCTCATCTGACTGCATCTGGACTCGAACTTGGGTCTGTGTGTCAACAATTCGTGGGTGTAGTTATACATTATAATTGATTAACTAATAGAATTAATTATATTCGCGTGTGAATCACAATTAATTGAGTCTCTTGTCTTTTTGATAGACTTTCATGACCTTTTTTTTTTTTTTTTCCTCATTTCCTTTTTGAAAAGGGCAATGGTCTTGATGTATCATTATTAAACTTATTATTACTGGCCCGGTTAATTTAGAATTATTCAATTATGTTATTTTGTTCATCTGACTTGACTGCCTCTGGATTTGAACTTGGGTCTGTATTTCCGCAGTTCATTGGCTGTACCATCTAAGCTACTAGATCCATTCATTGGTATACAGGCTTCAACTTAACCCATACGTCGGCCGCGGGCATCTACTGCCTACTCCTGAAAAATAGCTGCCACGCCGCCGTCGATATTTTTCATCGACGGTGCTTGGCGGCCGAATTTGAATTTGAGGCCCATTCGGCCCGTCCCTGTCATATATGAGAAAGGTGGTGGTGGTTTAACGACTTTGTTTTGCTTAAACCAGATCTATAACATTTGGTGGTGCTTTTTGTGGTTCTTGTGCAGAAAATTCAGCAGCCAGGTTCGAACTTGGGTCTGTGTATCTGATAACGTAAAATAGGTGGGGGCCTGCTCGGCGCACAGAGTTGCAGAGTAGCTAGCTTCTTCCCCTATTGAACCGAAAGGAGAAATCGGTGGTGGTCCCACAAGCAGCAGGCGCCATGCATTCTTTTCTTTTCCGCGCGAATGCGCTGCTGACCTTTGCAACGACAATCCTTGCGGTGCTCTGTGCGCTGGCATCGGTGGCCGAAAAGTTTCACACAGCTCATCCACAAGTAGATATAAAGGTAGGTTGTTGGTTATGGTGGGTCTTTCTGAACCCAGGACGGGTGCCGAAACGGCATCTTATCCTCCTTTCCTGATGGACACGACCGCTGAGTGGATATATAGCCTATGTGAATTGCAGGCTCTCTGGAAGTCTGGCTATGGGATTATGGCTATTCTTCCTGTGCCTATGCGGGTCCTACACTCTATTGAAGTCTGGCTATCGGATTATGACTATTCTTCCTACTGCCTCTGTGGATTTCGTGCTCATTTGAAGTCTGGCTATAGGATTACGGCTATTCTTCCTGTGCCTATGCGGGTCCTACACTCTATTGAGGTCTGGCTGTGGGACTATGGATCTTCTGCCTGTCGCCTATGCGGATGGATCTCAGCCTATCTTCAGATCTGGCTATGGGATGATGGCGATTCTTCCTATTGCCTATGTCGCTCTCAGGCTTGCTCGAAGTCTGGCTAAGGGATTATGGCTATTCTTCCTTTGATCGCCTATGTGGATCTTGGGCTCTCCTGAGGTCTGGCTGTGCAATTATGGCTATTCTGCTGTTGCAGATG